ACAACCAAACCGTAACCAAGGTGTTAACCTGGATTTGAGCTGTGACTGCACAACCAAACCGTAGGTCACATAATCACTGAGGCCTGTTTCAGCCATCAGTACCCATCACTGGCAGAGGAAAGGGCAAGTTTCACCCTGTGTATAACGAGAAGACAACGCTAGGACTGTACGACAGGGCAGTGTTAGAGTGCAGAGAGAAAATGCCATTGGGCACTGGCAAGACCCTGCCACTTCCCCACAAAAAAGTCTGCCGCAGTGCTGCCGATGCCCGCTGATTGAATAACTGACAAGTGAAGATCCGAGATAAATAGTTGAACTGAAGGTTCACGTCTCACCCCATGAAAGCAGTAGGAACCACTGAGGAACTCTTTTATGAGCTGGTCGTCTGTCAGTTTGGAAATGTGGGTCGTCCCAACAGTGAGCACTGGCTGAGACCCAACAGCAATAGGTTTGTGGATGGCCGGAAACCTTTCTTCTTTAGTTGACTGCAAATCTTCCTAAAATCAAGCAGACGTATGTTTAAGGGTACTCATGCTACACTTCATTTTTTTGTTGTGGCTTAAATTTTTAAAGTGTAGAAAATTTGAAAAATATGTACTTTAAGAAAATGAATTTTGCTGAACAGTCTCATCAAGGATGGGCCAGCAGCAACAGGGAGCAGAGGGCCAGGAGCTGGAGGGAGGGAAGGGAAGTAAAGAACTAGTGTGCACTATGTACGTGCACCCGCTCTCCAGGACGCATGTGACCATGTACTGCAATCATGTAATAAAAATGAAAAGTAAAATGAACTTTTCAAAGTAAGAGTCCATGCTGGGCACGGTGACACATGCATGTAGCTCCAGCATTCAGAAGAGTCTGAGGCCAGCCTGGGCTACATAGTGAATTCAAGGCAGCCTGAACTATATGGCAAGACCCTGTCTCAAAAAAAAGTAGAGAATGGTCCAGAAAAATGTTAAGGTACGGTGAGCAGCCCAAACATATACAGAGAGATTTCTGTTTCATGTATTTTGTTTCATTATTATTCTTATACTTGTTAGGCTTCATGCTTGTGTTTAACTTTGAGAAGTGGCCATTTAGGATAAAGAAAGAACAACATGAACAGTAAGAGAGAAGAGCTGGGTGAGAATGAATAAGAATATTAGAACATTATAATTTTTTTTTTTTTGTGGTAGCAGGAATCGAACTCATGACCTTGCGCTTGCCAGGCAGGCACTGTGTCACTGAGCTAAATCCCCAGCCCCCATGATTTTTTTTTTTTTAAATTTAATTTTATTTTTTTGGTACTGTGAATCGAACTCAGGACCTTGTGCTAGCAAGGTAGGCACTTGTGCCACTGAGCTATATCCCCGGCCCAAGAATATTAGAATGATTATGCAGCCAGGTGTGGTGGCACACGCCTGTAATCCCAGCACTTGGGGAGGCTGGGGCAGGAGGATCATTGTGAGTTTGAGACCAGCCTGGGCTACAAAGTGAGCTCAAGGCCAGCCTGAACTGCATAGTGAGACCCTGTCTCAAAAAGATAAAAAAACCAAACCAAAACAAAAAACTACAATTATTCAAGTGCAGCAGAACGTGGTTGTTGCCCTAGAGAAACCTGCAATTTAGTAGGGGTGGTACAGGGGATCCCGTCAAACTAGAAGGAGTGCAGGGAAGAGCAGACTCACGGAGAAGGGAATGGTTCAGACCAACTGACCAAAACCCGAAAAACGACGACGTCACAAAAAGAAAACCCTTGATCACCTCCCGAAACATGACCAATAATCTGTGATTCACTACACACCTGGATATAGATGTATACGCCTGTTCACGGAACTTAAAGAAGACGTATGGCCAAAGATGTGGGATATAATATTTAAAACTAAGGGGCTGGGGATTTAGCTCAGCGGCACAGCGCCTGCCTGGAAAGCGCAAGCTTGTGAGTTCAATTCCCGGTACTGGAAAACTAAACAAAACAAACAAACAAACAAAAAAACTACAGAGGCAAGCGGGCAGTGTGTGCGGGAAACTGCAGCGGAGAGTGAGCTGGAGGGCTTCGTCTTTCTCCTGGCTCTCCCTGCTTCCTGGCTGCCACAGGGCAGCAGCTCTGCGGCTCTCCTCCACAGGAGGCCAGGAGCGCGGAGCTCTGAGAACTGTGCGTCCACATAACCCCTGCCTGTTTAGGTCGCGGGTGCCGGGTACCGCGTCTCAGTGACGAGCGCGCGCGAGGCTCTGATACACCGCACTGGTCCTCTTGTCTTCTCCTTCTCCACTGTAGTTGCCAGTAGCCAGCTGTGGTTCTCTTGCTTCCATTTCTGCTTGTAGCAGTCGTGATGGTTACTCTCCTAGAAACCAATGATTCTGTCTGTCTGTCTATCTCTCTATTTTACGAATAAGGATTGCCAAGATGGTGTCTTCTGTGTTTTTGAAAGGGTCTTGAACTTTATTGTGTAACTCCACCCACATTCAGAACCTACTATAAATTAACTCTTGACTAATAATATTTCCTGGCACTACTTCAGGTGCTGAGTATGCAAAGTAAAGCAGACGCAGTCACAATCCTAGGGGGCCAAGGTCTGAGAGACTAAAGTAAAAATAGAGTACAAGAAACCTTTATTAAAGCTAATAGAAAGGCACCTACCCGACAAGTGCAAGGCCCTGAGTTTGATTCCTGGTACCAAAAAAGAAAATTGGGAAAAAAAAACAAACCCAAAAAAATAGCTAATGGAAAGAAGTAATCAACATTGCATAAAAAAAAAAACTGTACAGTAGAACCTGTGGCTGAGGTGAGGGAAGAAAGTAAGAATGAAAGGAGCGGCCCTTACTGCTTCTTCTGGGCAAAACACCTCAATTATTCTAGTGTAACATAGGTAATATGGAAGTGGTAGTGTTTGAAAATTCGTAAGATGAACCACCTCTGAATCAGTGTGAAACGATCACGCAGGGAGAACATCAGATGGAAATTCTAGGGCTGGGAACTCAGCTCAGGGGCACGGTGCCTGCCTGGCAAGAACAAGGTCCTGATTCCCAGCACCAAAAGAAAGAATCAAAATTCTAGTAAGAGATTCGTACCGCTCTTGTCATCACCATCTCTATCACGACCACTCCTGGGCACTGAACAGTGCGTCTGCACTGAGCTCACCCACCCCGTCCCTTTCTACTTTGAGACAGTAGCTCACTCAGTGCCCAGACTTGGCTCAAGCTTGTAATCCTGCCGTCTCGACTTCCAAGAATGGAAATACTGTAGGTACGTACCTCCAACCCTGGTTTAGATTTGTATTTCTGTTTAAAAATATTAAGAAAAAATTCCTTATTTGTATGGTAAAACCTGATCCATACTTAAGAGGCAAACTGTATGCCAAATACACATTTTTAGGAGAACAGTTAGTGGACTAGATTTACTCTGATCAGGGTTTTCCTGGTGGCACTGGGAACTGAACCCACGGCCTTGAGCACGCCAGGCAAGTGCTCTACCACCGGGGTCCATCCCCAGCCCTTTGCTGGATTTCATTTTGAGACGTGACTCACTAAGGTGCCTCGGCTGACCTCTCACGGGTGACCCACCTGAGCAGCTGGGATTACAGGTGTGCACTGCCACGGCCAGCTCTGGTCAGTTTTAAGCGGCCGCTCATCTGATGGTGTGATATGAAACTTATATGAATCATGTGACCTGAAGATCCTGAATATTTGGAAAGGGTTATCATTTGTAGCTTTCGAAAAACTCGTTTTTTTCAACTGACAGATTAAACACATTTATTTATTTATTTTTCGGTTTTTTTCCCGGTACCGGGAATCGAACTCACAACGTTGCGCTTGCCAGGCAGGCGCTGTGCCGCTGAGCTAAATCCTCAGCCCCTTAAACACACTTATTTAAAGAAAAGCAAATGGGCACTTTTCCCCTGAAGAGTAACAAAAGCTGAGATTTGTGAAGCCCCTGATTGAGCTAACTCTTCAGTACTTAGACCATAATGGACCAGAGAACTCCAGCTCAAGTCTTCTGGTGCGGTACATAATGTTAAGAGCACTTCTCCTCCTACCAGGTGGACAGCACTCACAAGCAGCACAGCATGCTTCTGTAGAAAGCATTCAGGGAGAAGACACAGCCTTGTGGTAAGTATCAATCCAACTACTGTTAAGTATCCACAGCATGCCAGGCATTTCTGCAAAGTGCTGGAAAAAGCAGCTTCAGATGTTTGTTTTAGGAGCAGTTCATCCCTCACGTGAGAAAGACTGGAAAGCAGATGTGTAAGGAGACTAGTTTTGATCTTAGGAAATAATGAGCTCCTGAACAACTAAACCTCATTCTTCGAGACAGATCTCAAAAACGTTTAGCAGCTAACAATGACGGCTCTTAGGGAATGATCAGAGGTAGAGATGAAGGAAGAGACCGCGGGGATAAATGACTCATGGGGTAGAGCACAACGCTTTGAAAGCTTTGGAAGCTGGATGTGCTGACGCACGCCTGTAATCCCAGCAACTCTGAGCAGAGGCGGGAGCACTGGCCAGCACGGGCTACACAGCGCGCTCATGAGTTCCAGGTAAGTCTGACTATATAGCGAGACTGTCTCAAGAGAGTAATAAAGCAAGCCTGGGAGAAGGTAAGAGTCAGTGTCAAAGAAAAAAGTCTTGAATGTGAGTCAACTGAAAATGTACGTGGCTCTGTCCAACAGACAGCTGAAAAGGAAAAGGGGAAAGCAATATTCAGAAGTCATCAAAGGACGGCAATGAACTGAATAAATAAAATGTAAGGAGGAGGTAAGAACTGTATCTATTTTTTCAGGAGGCTCAGCTGTAGCAACTGTCTAAAAAACTGAACTACAATGTACAGGATGTCAAACTTTAGTGTAAGAGCATGTTAATTTTTTTTTTTAATTTTTAAAAATTTTTTTTTGTTTTTTTTCCGGTACCAGGAATCGAACTCATGACCTCGTGCTTGCCAGGCAGGCGCTGTGCTGCTGAGCTAAATCCCCAGCCCCGAGCATGTTCATGTTTTGTAAACGTTTCTAAAAAAGCAAAAGAACTTAAGTCAATGAAAAGAACTGGAATTTAAAATTTGGAGGCAACGAAAATAAACTACTATTATATTATAGAAATCATGACACGGATATATTTTCTGAAATGCAGAAAAGGAAGTCCTGAGAAACTACCATTAGCTAATTCTCATACCTCTTTATTCCTTCTGAAAGGCACCCGTAGTATTTCTTCTTGCTGCTCCAGCTGTCTCAGAGTGAGAGGTTTAAATGGAGATCCTGGCAGTGATTGGCAAAATATGTCATTCACAGGAGATGCTCTGAACCTAGTCAGTAAACAGATTAAAGCTAAGCAAAGAATACTTTAAAGCCTGCTGAACTGTATGCTGAAAATCTTAAATGCACATCCTACCTGTATTTAGGATGACTGCACAAGAGTGGTGTCAAAATGACCACCTCATATTCACAAGTGGTAACTTCGGCCACGGAGAGAATCTCATGCTTCGATTCAGGGTGGCATATGTACATCACTGTACTTGATCTGGGCCGGTTCTGTCTCAGACTACAAGGCGTGCCGCTGCCCATCCCCACAGGGTAGTAGGGTGTCCTCTGACCTTCGATGTTCTTAGTGGGAGTCTTAGAAAGACAGTAGACACACTTCATTAGAAAATGAGGGGCTGAGATGGGAGAGGCATTTCTTACTCTGAAAGGAAAACAATGACATTTTACTTATAAAGAGAAAGGTAACCTTTCTGTATTTTAAGTTCACCCTCTAATGCTCTGATTCTGAAGTTCTTAAGACATTAAGTCAATGTACACTTATATAAAGGGCTACAAGATCAAGTTAATATGAGTTATTCTCAGCAGTTATAAAGAAAAAGACTAAGATAAATATAAAACTTACTACACTAGCTTGCTCGACGCTTTCTTCGTTAAATACTCAGTGAATGACTACTTAAAGAGTTTAGATTCTACAGGCCTGAAGGCTGATTTGTCAAGAAGCAGGGCCAGACAGTAAAACATTATTCTATAAAACAGCAATCTAAATATACTTCTGTTACATGTAACTGTTTACTCTTTTTCTCTGTTATCAATAGCATATGCATTTCAACTCCTATGTCAATCTGTTCAAGTCGGGGCCCAGGATGTAGCTCAGCGGTGCAGAGCCCGCCTGGCAAGTGCAAGGTCCTGAGTTTAGTTCCCAGTTCCCCCACAAAAAAATTAAAAAAAAAAAAAAAATCTGTTCAAGTCTAGCAAATGACAAATTAAGAAATTCTGATAGAATGGGGGAGTAAAGGAGATATCTGAAAAGCCAGTTTCTTAGGAGTTAGCTTCCATAAAACCCAGTGTAGGAGCTTTAAGATACCCTCAATAGCATCTCCAAACAAGCGCGACAGAGGAGAGATCTCATCTGGTATCACTGTGGTGCTCTGCCAGTGCCATATTCAAAACAGGCAATAAGTAAGTATTTCATGAGAAAGTGACCTGCAGTTTCCTTGTATGCTACCTTCATGCTGTTGTCTGAAATTAAAGCTGGATGTGGTGGTGCATGCCTGTAATCCCAGCACTGGGAGGCTGAGGCAGAAGATTTGCTGTGAGTTCAAGCCCAGCATGGGCTCCATAGTGAGTTCAAGACCAGTCTGAACTACAGAGCAGGATCCTGTCTTAAAAAGAAAAATTCTTAGGATTCACAAAGCTCTCCTGGGAGCCCGGTGCAGTGGTGCACACCTATGGCTGGGAGGCTGAAGCAGGAGGATCAGGGAGTTCAAGGCCAGCCTTTACTTCACAGTGAGATCCTATTTAAAAAAAAAAGCTCTTCTGGAACTATGTGGGTATTTAAATATTGTGATTAGGCATTTTGAAAGATCATTCTTTTAAAATTTCTATTGTTTTAGCCTTCACTTATCCATTCATTTAATAAACACTTATGAAGTACCTACAATACGTCTGGCAGTTTGCTTTGCACTGCTGATTGAAGAGATAAAAGACATTTCCTGCTTTTATGCAACTGTTTTTTTTTTTTCCCCTGGTACCCGGAATCGAACTCAGGACCCCTCGCTTGCCACGCAGGCGCTGTGCCACTGAGCTAAATCCCCAGTCCCCTGTTCCTACTTTCAAAATGCTTGGAATCTGGTTGCCTGTTATTTATGAATAGAGTGTATCTTTCACTCACAGAAGAGTAGGAAGACATAAAAAAAGTAAAAGCTTTTACTATAATTGTTTCTAATACTAAGCAAAAGGGCCACTGCTAAGCATTAAAGTGACATAATGGAAGTACAAGCCAGGCCTGGGGGCGCACGCCTGTAATCCCAGTACTCGGAGACTGAGGCAGGCGGATCGTTAGGAGTTCGAGACCAGCCCGGGCTACAAAGTGAGCTCAAGGCCAGCCTGAACTGCAGAGTGAGACCCTGTCTCAAAAAGATAAAAAACAATCTGTTTTCATGAGAAACCACTTTGAAGATATCGATATGTAATACAACAAGCATTGTTAATTTCCTACCACTTTATAACT